GTGCATATGTCTCTATCAGTGTTATAGAGGGCGAACAATTTATGAGTTTACCCTGTATAAGCATTATACAGGGTAAAACGGATTTATTTAGGGTTTGGACCCCATTGGGAGTTGGGCATCTGAGTGTCAAATACAGGAACACTTCTGTAAGTTGCTTTCAGTTAAGCCTACAGCCGTTAGGGGACGTGGTTCAGACCTGGGTCTGGGTTTGCAGCAGGCTAGCGGGTCTGGCTCAAACTAGTTAGGGTGCTGGAGTCCTAAGCTGACAAGGCAGGAAAGCAGGAGCAGAAGTAGTTCTGGCAGATCAGGTGGCAGTTCCCAAGGGTTTTCTGTGATATAACCCGTCACAGAGGGAATCTTCCTTTCTGATGCCTTCCCTGTGAGGGCTTTACAGGCACTCAGACACACATCCACACACAGACAACCATACCTTCACATCCTAAACTAACAAAAAAGGTTGGGATGTCTCCCAGATAATGAAAACAAAGGGAAAAAGTAGAAAAAAGGGAAAAAAGAAGAAGAAGATAACAGGGAATTTGCAAACTCTTCTGCGCTTGCAGTCTTCTGGACTTCCATGGGTCAGGAGCTAGAGCTGCAGTCAAGGAAGTAGATGATGTCATAGCTGGCACAGTACTTCACAGTAGAGGGCTTTTCAGGTGCTGGAAGACTGGTCAAAGGCTGGTATAGCCCATTTATTGATGTTATGATTTCCTTCCCTGGAAGTAATTAGTCCTGGGGTTCTGAAACATCAGTCATCTTTTGTCTCAAAAAAGTGATCATCTCAGCTTTCTCCTTGGTTTTGATGGGTGGTGACTGTAGCTTACTCTACCTTGCAGCACCATCCCCTGAGGGTCTTCAGGCACATCAGTTATGAAAACTACTTTCAATTCTGATAACATGGCCCAATAAGATTTGTTTTATGTCATCCTGGGCTCATGTTATTTTCTGGAAAAAAGTCCTGCTGAAACCAGCAGCTTTTTAAAAAGTATTCAGTGTTGTATGCCACATGCGCTGAAAATATCAAAATGAAAAAGACAAACAACCACTTTTTAGGAAGTTAACATGGCATTACCTGGGTAACAAAGACCTTGAACTTCAAAAAGGCTGACAAAGGAGGTGCTGTTGTCATCATGAATAGGTCGGAATATGAACAAGAGGCTGCTCGGCAGCTCTCCAACACGAGTTTCTACAAGCCATTACCCTATGATCCCACTGAGAGTTACCAAAAGCAACTACAGCATTTGCTCAAGAAACTTCCTGAAAAAGCACAAGATCAAATCCGCACAGACACACCCCTGGAACCCCGACCTGGGATATTCTATCTACTACCCAAGATCCATAAACCTGGAAATCCTGGGCGCCCCATCATCTCAGGCATTGGCACCCTGACAGCAGGATTGTCTGGCTATGTAGACTCCCTCCTCAGGCCCTACGCTACCAGCACTCCCAGCTACCTTCGAGACACCACTGACTTCCTGAGGAAACTTCAATCCATCGGTGATCTTCCTGATAACACCATCCTGGCTACTATGGATGTAGAAGCCCTCTACACCAACATTCCACACAAAGATGGACTACAAGCCGTCAAGAACACTATCCCCGATAATGTCACGGCTAACCTGGTGGCTGAACTTTGTGACTTTGTCCTTACCCATAACTATTTCACATTTGGGGACAATGTATACCTTCAGATCAGCGGCACTGCTATGGGTACCCGCATGGCCCCACAGTATGCCAACATTTTTATGGCTGATTTAGAACAACGCTTCCTCAGCTCTCGTCCCCTAAAGCCCCTACTCTACTTGCGCTATATTGATGACATCTTCATCATCTGGACCCATGGAAAAGAAGCCCTTGAGGAATTCCACCATGATTTCAACAATTTCCATCCCACCACCAACCTCAGCCTGGTCCAGTCCACACAAGAGATCCACTTCCTGGACACTACAGTGCTAATAAACAATGGCCACATAAACACCACCCTATACCGGAAACCTACTGACCGCTATTCCTACCTGCATGCCTCCAGCTTTCACCCTGACCACACCACACGATCCATCGTCTACAGCCAAGCTCTGCGATACAACCGCATTTGCTCCAACCCCTCAGACAGAGACAAACACCTACAAGATCTCTGTCAAGCTTTCTTACAACTACAATACCCACCTGCAGAAGTAAAGAAACAGATGGATAGAGCCAGAAGAGTTCCCAGAAGTTACCTACTACAGGACAGGCCTAACAAAGAAAATAACAGAACGCCACTAGCGGTCACCTTCAGCCCCCAACTAAAACCCCTCCAACGCATTATTAAGGATCTACAACCTATCCTAAAGGATGACCCAACACTCTCACAAGTCTTGGGAGACAGGCCAGTCCTTGCCTACAGACAGCCCCGCAACCTGAAGCAAATACTTACCAACAACCACATACCACACAACAGAACCACTAACCCAGGAACTTATCCTTGCAACAAAGCCCGTTGCCAATTGTGCCCACATATCTATTCAGGGGACACCATCACAGGGCCTAATAACATCAGCCACACTATCAGAGGCTCGTTCACCTGCACATCCACCAATGTGATATATGCCATCATGTGCCAGCAATGCCCCTCTGCCATGTACATTGGTCAAACTGGACAGTCTCTACGTAAAAGAATAAATGGACACAAATCAGATGTCAAGAATTAGAACATTCATAAACCAGTCGGAGAACACTTCAATCTCTCTGATCACGCGATTACAGACATGAAGGTCGCTAATTTTACAACAGAAAAACTTCAAATGCAGACTCCAGCGAGAAACTGCTGAATTGGAATTCATTTGCAAATTGGATACTATTAATTTAGGCTTAAATAGAAACTGGGAGTGGCTAAGTCATTATGCAAGGTAGCCTGTTTCCTCTTGTTTTTTCCTACCCCCCCCCCCCCCCCCAGATGTTCTGGTTTAACTTGGATTTAAACTTGGAGAGTGGTCAGTTTAGATGAGCTATTACCAGCAGGAGAGTGAGTTTGTGTGTGTATGGGGGTGGGGAGGATATGAGAAAACCTGGATCTATGCAGGAAATAGCCCGACTTGATTATGTAAAGAGTTGTCACTTTGGATGGGCTAGCACCAGCAGGAGAGTGAATTTGTGTGGGGGGGTGGAGGGTGAGAAAACCTGGATTTGTGCTGGAAATGGCCCACCTGTTGATCACTTTAGATAAGCTATTACCAGCAGGACAGTGGGGTGGGAGGAGGTATTGTTTCATATTCTCTGTGTGTATATAAAGTCTGCTGCAGTTTCCACGGTATACATCTGATGAAGTGAGCTGTAGCTCACGAAAGCTCATGCTCAAATAAATTGGTTAGTCTCTAAGGTGCCACAAGTACTCCTTTTCTTTTTGCGAATACAGACTAACACGGCTGTTCCTCTGAAACCAGTGTTAGGTAGGTAGGCAAGTGTTGTTATCTTTATTTTTTTTGCAGAGAGTTTAAGTAACATGCCCAAAATATATGAGTCAACAGGTATCTGCCATAATATTTAGTCCTGCCACGAGTGCAGGGAACGGGACTAGATGACCTCTCGAAGTCCCTTACAGGCCTACAATGCTATGATCACCGTACGGAGAGTATCCTCAAATTCTGCAAAAACAACTGATTACAAAAACCCTAACAAAAATATACCAGCCACTCAATGTGAATTCACCAGCAACATTAAGAAGAAACTCAGACGGTTTATAAACATACGTCCCATCATTTCTTGCAAACAAGGCTATTTGGCAATCTTTTATATTTTAAGTACTGGGTCATAAGTCATGCAACTTATCTCTTTGAAAATTTCAATCTTATAGAAGAAAGGTGACTATAAAGGTGATCAAATTAAAAATCTATTTAAAAAATTAATTTTATACAAGGTCTGTATTCTCATGTATGCTATTTCTCTTGCACTTGGAAAGAAGAACATATGTATTGGCAAAGGTGCTAGATGCAAGAAAAATAGTTATTGGTGAAAATTGGGTATAATTAATTTTGACAGTGTCTCTTTTGCCTCAGTTAGAATTTATATTTAGCCTAAGCTGATTTTGTGAACTTTTGCAAAGCTTCCTTTCTGTTTGCATTATGTACGCTTTTTAAATTAAAAACAAGAATCAGCTCACTTTTCTGTATTCCATCAGACAGCTGTTTGGAACCCTACTAAGTAAATACATTAACAGTTACACAAGCCAAGAACTACCATGCATTTTTGGTACTTGGAGGGGAGGAGGATACATTTAGTTGGAGCCTCTATTATGGTGTTTTTAAAGAGTTTCCATGCAGCTTGCAGGCGTTTAACTCTTATGATTGTTCCTTTTAATTTAAGTAACCTGCTCATTTTTGTATAGTTTCCCTTCTTGAAGTTAAATGCTATTGTGCTAGGTTTCTTTGGTCTTTCCCCCCCTACAAGGATGTTAAATTTCAGAGTCTCCCTAAAAGAGTAACATAAAGTACCAGAAGGCCTGCTTTGCAGTATTTGGTTATCTGTTCTCCAAATCACAAAGCAGGATGGAACAAGTGAATCAGCCACTGGTTACCTTAAAGAAATAGATATTGTTAAACAGACCTAAAGTTTAATTTTCAGGGCTTTGTGGGGTTAGATCACAAAGCAGGGACTGGAATCTATTTTAATGGGTTCGTAGAAACAGCTGCTAGTGTTGTTAAAACTGATTTGTGGAGACTCGTGTCTGTCTTCCTCCCACCCCGCTCAGGAGCCACCTGTGCAGGTAGTCTAAGTGCTCCTTGTCCCACTACTGGCCCTGCTCCTTCCTGTGCTTTATTGCAGGGCTTGGGGTTGTACGTGTTGCATGCGCAGGACCAGGGAGGGCCCTTATACTTTTGTTCCAGACAGAGCCTGCAATCCTGGGGCTGGGGGCGGTGCGTGCAGGGCAGCACTCGCTCTGCTCCTGCTCTAGTCTGGTTGGAACTGGACTGCGCAGAGCAAGCCCCCTCCCCAGTGAGCACTGGGAGAGCTCAGCTGCCCTGCCCTCTGCCAGCGTTTCTCTAGCTGATCGGAGAAGACCCGAGGGGTGGGCAGCAGCTTCTTCCCATTGCATTAGTTCAGCGAGCAGCAAGCACGTACTGTTGTTGGAAAGGGGCCTCAGTCTGCAGGGGAGAGGCCCCCACAGCTCAGAGCAGCAAGAGGCTCTGCTGGAACTGCCTGTCTCGCCTGGAGCCAAGCGAGCGGTCTTGGGAGGAGGAGGCGGCGGCGGCGGCGAGGAAAGGGGAGAGACGTGTCCTTTCTAGAAGGATTGCAGGACAAGCAACAGAACAGCAGGATCAGAAGCCCCCGTTCCTTTGCAGGGTATGAGCCACCACGTTCCTTATCAGACGCGTTGCGCGTGATTAGGTACTCTGCCCTCGTTCCCCGCCTGGAGATGTTTGCAGTGGAGTGTTGTTGTGCCCACGATCCAGGTGAATGTTGCAACATCTGCCCTTCTCCCGCTGCGGCGGCGGCTGCCACAGACAAAAGAGCTGCGTGCAGATTCCCCCAAGAATGCAGCAGTGTTGAAAGCGATGAGACTTTGTCTTCTGGGTACAATTCGGCAAATGGAGACAGCTGCGAGTCCTTACCTGAAGTTGTGGCCTGTGATCCTAGCAGTTTGATACCCCAGAACAACCTGCTAGAGGTTATGCACAGTTTTTCCGTTCACAAGCATTTCTCCTGGTGTGTTGACTACAGACAGCCTTACCTTTTGCTAGGTATGCAGTCTTTGATTCCTGTTTCCTTCCGCTGGTCACTTTACTTGTTAGAGTGTGGGGGAGGAGGTTAAGGGGCTGAATCAATTTGAAATCTTTACGTGAATGGGTGTATTTTAGAAGTTGTTCTCTAATAGCAAATAATTGTACCTTTGCCCCTAAAAATGTTTGGTTTTGTTTCCATTAAGCACGTACAGAGACTATTTTGTAGTAATGGTACAATTTGAAAATTAATACTTATGTTGTGTCCCTATGGTGTGGCATGTTTCTTCACATCCAGAACTCCCAATAGCATCAGATCCGTGGGGTCTTTTGGTTTTTTTTTTTTTTACAGGCGCTTTATTCATGCTGTGTTTACCATGTTTTGGTTTTAGCACTTGCTTATGAGTATAGATTAGTAAGAAAAGACATGATGCTGCCAATACCTTTACAATCAATACAATTATCTAGTCATTTAGCTGTATATATTTAGTAAAAGTGGTTTATCTCTTAAGTAGCTGCAGTGTTTGCATGACTGTTTCTAAGTAATTGAGGAGTAACTTTAGTTTTCCAAAGAAATAATTGCACCATGTAGTTAAGAAAAAAATGCTTGTTTTCAAAATCAGATTTCAGCCCTCCAAAGGGATCAACCTAGGCAGAGTCCCATTGATTTCAGTAGAACTCCATGCAGGTTTATCCTCCAGCACCTTTACTCAGTAATCCTTGAAGTCAGTGAGAGCTGTGGGCATGCAACTGACTGACAGATACCTGTTGTGTGTCTCATATTTTGGGCATGTTACTTAAACTCTCTGCAAAAAATAAGGATATTATTACCTACCTAACACTGAAGTTGAGAATTCTAATGAATTAAGCTCTTATCCTGCCAAGTTTTACACACATGGGATTAATTTTATGCTCATGAGTTAACGGAACTATTCAGGTGCGTAAGTGTCTACAAGGGCCTTAGTTTGTAAAATATTTTGAGGGTGGAAATAGTATTTAAAATATTAAGTATTATTCTGTTTGTTCATAAACCTACTGATGCAGAATTATTGAATACGACCATGTGCTAGCTCTTTCTATCTGGACATCACCCCAGTCATGTAGTACAAAAATGTGCTTTGCCCCAGAAGTAAATTGTTCTTCATTAACTAAGGGAAGAATCCACGAAGACTTTTTACAAGGATGCAGTACAGTATAAGTTGACCTTAAAAGGATTTAAAATGCTAATCAGAACCTAGTATTGATTTAGTCTTGGTGGCCATATGGTAAAATTTCAGAACTTGACAACCTTTTTTTTTTTTTTTTTTGCGGTGTCACTGTTGTATGTGATCAAACCACAGTTATATCCCACATACTGTAAATATCCTCACTTGAAAAATGTTGACAGGTAAATGAATGGTTTGAGACATTGTTTGTTTGTTCCTCAGATGACAATCAAAACAAAACCAATGAAAAGAAAGAGAAGAAAATGGTTGCTCAGAAACCCCTTGGAACTATAGAATATACTGTAAGTACTGGGTGCATAATTAGGTCATTTATTAATGTTGTTTAAAATGAGGTTGTCGAGGTTAATGAGACTCTAAAGAAACCAAACTAATATAGACACCCTTTAATTCCTTTTTAAAAATATCTTCCAAATATCCTGTGTGTAGGAAGGGAAATTGGTCTCAACGCCACAACCATCCTCTAACTTGGGCATCACCCACCCTTTCCCAGCTGCCTGCCTTCTGTATTTCCAGTTCCATAGTGGGGCCATGTAAAACCTCTCCTCTTCCTCTGAGAAAGATTTCTGTCCCATTAAATGTTGCCTAGGCCTTCTAGCAGGAATATGTTTGTACCCTGGTCATGAGATGCCAGCGTTTTCTTTTTGGAATGCCAGTGATGTACACTGCCTCTGTACCAGAAGTGATTAGTTGTGTACTGGGAGAAAGCTTACTGAAAGGTGCCAGGGACATATTGCAATGTCCCCTTTCCCTACAGATCCAGGAAGGGAAGGAACTCTTAACCTGATTCTCTCATGTGCTAGTATGCTGTTACCACCAGGCCTGCTGAGAACAGGCTTTAATCTTAACTGCTAGAATGGGTGAAAGAGTAACGAACATCAAATATATATAATGTGTGTACAATGTGCCCCCCTCCTCCTCTCTCCTAACCAGTTCTAACTGGAAGGAGCTAAGTTAAAATGATACATTGTTTAACTAAGGTTGATGAAGCAGTGAGAGAGGGATCTTAACTGTTCTCTTTTCTCTGTTTTATAGAGTGGAAAAAGTGCTGTTAACACAGTAGCTGTTGTCTTATAATTAACTGTGTCATCTTGCAAAAATTAGATTGATAGGAAATATGTTAGATCACCGAGTCCATACCCTGCAACTGGTCTACCCGATAAAGTTTATTTAAACTATTATACTGATCCTGTACTTGATTATTGCTGTATCTTAAACATCAAGTTTCCTTTCTTCAGGCTGGAAGTCAGGACACCCTAAACAGCATAGCATTGAAATTTAACATCACTCCAAACAGACTTGTGGAGCTCAATAGGCTGTTCACACACACAATTGTTCCAGGGCAGGTAATTTTTAAGTTTTAAATACTGAAAAATTCTGATTTTTTGCTATGCGTTTAAAACCCCCACCCCCAACTTAATGAGTCTATTAGGCAGATGTATATGATGGTGATGGGCAGTAGTATAAAACCTCAGAACGGAGTCTAGCTCAGATGGTTGCAAGAATTGGTCTAGGCCCACTTGGGAATCAGGCAGCCCAGGAAGCCAGCTGGCCAGAGGCAATCTGCATGGCAGGAGCCCACAGCAGCTGCTGAGTGAAATTGACATCCTTGTCAGCTTCACCACTGCTAATAGTCAGTGAGCAGCTGCTGTCCTGGGAACATAGTTAGATATGGAAACACAATATATTGGCATTTCAGAAACAGATTTTTCCAGAATTTCTGATTTGCAAGAAATCTTGAAAATTTGATTTCATTCTGAGTCAGAACAAAACCAATTCTCAAAATTCTGAAATTTCTCTCTAACCAGAAATCCTGAGTGAATTCACGTACAGGGACGCCTTCAGTTTCTATTAAAAAAAATGTAATTTTTTGAAAATGTCTGTACTTGTAAATAATATTGTAGGTTTAAAAAGTTCTGTGGTTTTAACTTTTTGACCATTGAAGAGTATTTCTTTCTGCACTTCTTTGGGCTTTGACATTGACAAATGACTGTGCAGTTTTATTTTTAAGGTCTTATGCTCCTAAAAGCTTGAAAGTCTGTAAGAGTAAAAATCCAAACAAAACATGGCTTAAATCTAAATGTCAACAAATGTTTTTATTAAAAAAATTTGTTGACATTTAGATTTATTTTTTTAAATAAAAAGTTTCCAAGGTACCTGACAGTGTTCCATTATATATTTTCTCTTGAATTCAGAAGAGTTTTTCCCTCTGACATAAATATGGTTTGGAAAAGAGAGATCTTATTGCAAAACATAATTTCCTGTAACTTCTAGCTCTAAAATTTACATTTGTTGCTTCCTCCAGTGGCTTCTCTTTTTTTTTTTTTTTTGGGTCCAATTTTTGCCTTTATAACAGGCATCTGCTGCACTAACTTCTATAGACTATCCTGTGATGATTTCTGTATTAGTTAATCTTGTAGTTAGGTTGTAGTTTACACAGGTAAGGGAGGTTGTCATTCTTTCAGAACTGGTGTATGCTACTGCCTTTCTCAAAAAACAAAATATAGACCCTGATCCTTCAGTGAAATTCATATGGAACCCCACTGACTGACAAATAAGAATTTTAGAGATAGGAGTTATTCCAGAATGTGTTTTGCAGTGAGATGTGTTGTCAATACCAGATTGTCTTTGTTGGGACTCCTGCATAGATCTCATTGCAGAATCAGGACCATAGTGTTTATATTACATATGTCTGTCTTTTTTTCTTCTATATGTAATTATTTTAAAATAAGTTATTTGTGTTTAATGTAATCTTTGTGTAGGTTCTCTATGTCCCAGATACTGACCACTGTTCCAGTGCTGCTAGGTTAGCGTCTTCCAGTCCTGGTGCTCCTGTTTCTCCTTCATCATCAGATGCTGAATATGATAAACTTCCTGTAAGTAAATCTTGTGTTTATAGAACACTGTCTCTGAAGCTCAGGTTAAATCCTATTAAATAGTTATTTTTGATGAGGTTGCAATTGAGGCATTGTAGAAAATGGCATTAAAACCAGCTGATGGGTTTGAGCCAGTTGTTCCTGGGAGTTTAGATGTTTCTGTGCTGCTGTTTACACAGTTACACCAATCCTCACCCCCAAATCTATGGCTATTTAAGAGAGATTTGAGACTAGAATGCAGTAAACTGCTGAGAGTGTTAAGCCTCAGTCCTACAATCTGATCCATGAAAATGGAATCCCATTAAAGCCAGTGGGGCTGTGTGCATTGGTATTTCCATGTCAGTCAAATTGAAGAATTGGGCCTTAGCCAGTGTTCTCTCTAATTTTTCCCACCCATGTGCGGAATGAATTTTATTATGTGCACCAGTACGGAGGTGATTTGTGACACATCACATTCATATTGGTGCACATAACAACATTCATGTGGTGGGGGTGGGGCCGAGGGGTTTTTGTGCGAGGGGGCTCAATTGAGGCAGAGGGTTGGGGTGCAGGGGTGTGAGGGATCCAGCTGGGGGTGTGGGCTCTGGGGTGGCGCTGGGGATGAGGGTTGGGTGCAGGGGTTTGAGGGCTGCGGCTGGGGGTGTGGGCTCTGGGGTGGGGCTGGGGATGATGGGTTTGGGATGCAGGAGGGTGCTCTGGGGCTACTGCGCAGAGAGAGGACCCCCACGCTCTCTCCCCGCAGCAGCACCTGGGCTGGGGCGGAGAGGCGCTTGTCCCTGCCGTGGGAGCGCTGGGGCTGCAGGGTAGGCACCCCAGCTCCAGCAGGGTCGGCAGGCTGGCTGTGCCGCAGCTGGGACCACCAGGCTGCTCCAGGGTCAGGCTGCACCTGGGCCTGATCCGGCCACGGCAGGTCTGGGCCGCAGGGTGAGTTCCCTAAGTGTCTGCGTGGCACTAAATAGGCTACTGCGCAGCCTATAGGCCTAAGTGTGGTTAATTTAGGTGTCTAACTGAAAACTGTTGTAGTGCGTGGTTTTGTTTTTTCTTAATTTCCCGTCTGTCATTTACTTGGAGATTTTTTTTTTATAAAGTTATAAACAAAACGTGGTCACATGCTGGGGGGAGTATGAAATATAAATCTGGCCGTGTTTTTCCTTTAAACCAAAAGGAAAATTGTTAATGGATCTTGGTCTTTAATTTTTCAAAAACTAAGAAAGAACATGTCTGTGAAACTGGTCCTGTTGTTTCGCACTGAGGCTTTTGCTTTTTAAAGGATGCTGACTTGGCAAGAAAGGCCTTCAAACCAATTGAGAGAGTCCTGTCATCTACCTCGGAGGAAGATGAACCAATAGTTGTCAAATTTTTAAAAATGAATTGCCGTTACTTCACAGATGGCAAGGTAAGTGGAGCTTGTGCCTTGTGTCTCATTCGAGATCCTTTTAGAGAGTGAACTTTTGTTGTTAGTGTAAGTCAGAGGCCAACAGCAGGGTTGGGAGCCAAGCATAACGTAAGCAAGTGCTCTGGACATTCTGTTTGTTGTTTCGCACTATACTGACATATTTGCTCTTTACATCCATTTACTTATTACAGTGACTGCTTGATAGAAGACTAGCTCTTCCTTCCCACCCATCTCTTTCTCCTTTATAGCCTTTTATTAGAAAGGTCTCCTTCCAAGAACTGTTGGGGGGGCACCCATCTGCTAGGAAGACACCCGTACAGAGAGTATTGCACTTCATAGTTCCACTAATCATGATATACAAAACGCCTGAGCAGAGACTGCCGAGTTCCATCAAATTACAGGATCACTTTATAAAATGGACAAATGTCCCTTTTCGTTGTTGTATGTGTGTGACCTGAATTGGCTTTGAACTCTCTTTAGAGGTAAATGCACAAGATCAGGGCAGATCTTAGTTCTCTCACTCCTGAAGTATGAAAACTCTGTTTCCTTACGCTTATTTATTTTTCTTATCTACTCTTGTTGTTTTTCATTTAAGTCTCCTATAAAAGATGTTTACACACTTGAGTTTTCCCATCCTTTGGAGTCAACAGGAAACACCTGAGATAATAATTGTTTCAACTTAGCTTTATTTTTCTTTTGTCATATTGTTTTGTGTTTGCTTTTTCTGGTTCTGAATAGATGTGGAATATGCATTTAACCAACTTGGAGTTTTTGTAGAAAGTAGCAGAATACTACACAGTGTGTCTTATGCAGAAATTTGTACAACATAGTGCTTTCTTATATGAAGCTTTTTTGATATTGGGTTCCATTTCACAAAATATATAACTGGTCACTTTCTTTGAAGCCTACGTATGCTTTAGGAGCCAAAAACAGCTTCACACCTCAGCAGTCCAGTGTGGACTTTGTTCTTGGTAACATATCTTCAAGCAGAGCCTGATGTAGTCCTGTTTCCCCTTTGGCCCAAATACAGAACTTGGCCGATATATGTAGAATTCTGCTGTCTGTATTGAGAACAGTGACTTTGATAGCTGTGAGTTTGAATGGCAGAACCTCCCGCCATACACACATATCACACAGAAGAAACATGTGCAAAGTATATCTTGCCTTTGCTCCACACACTAAAGGTAACATGTGCTCCCTAGTATCGATCTGTTTGTTTTGTATCTCTTCCTCTGGCTTCCTAGCCTCCACTGGCATGACTTGCTGGTTGACTAGCCTTTTCCTTAGTGATGCTTGCAGTGTTATGCAGGCTAATCTTATTGTCATTTGGGCCTTGTGACAACTGTCTGTCAAATGACTTAAGATCAAGTGCAGCATTAGCTGAAAATTTGGTCATGATTGTAGGCTACTAAAAGGCCACATCCATGAGCCCCATATCTGGTTGTGGGAGACAGTCGTTTGTCCAACCCAGGGCTAGTCATTTCCAAGAGTTAAAAATCTTTTCTGCAGCAGTGTAAATTGCCAGCTTGGTCCAGTGGTGACATTGGAGGGTGGAGACTGGAATCACCATGTTGGGTCCCTGTAAAATAGGTCAAGAAAAGATTTTCTGTGTACCAGATGGCGCTCTCAAGGAAGGGGATGTAGAACTCTAGATTCATCTGCTGTCAGTACAGCAACCTCTCCATGTTCCTATTACTGGGAAGCCCTGCATGTGTTCAGAAGTCCATACCAGCAGGTTGAGGTAGGGCTGCTAGCACAGATTTACCGGTGTAGCCAAAATAAAAAGTTGTTGGTGGGTTTAAAAAAAAAATCCTCTTTCCTTGCCTCTGGTTAATTAACAAGCTGCAGCTCTAGTTTATAGCAGCCAGGGATGAGAGTTAAGTACCTTGAATCCTCTTTATAACACTGTCCTTGTCAGCTAAGCATTTTGAGTGTTCCAAAGAGTTCTCTTTTTATTTATCCTTCTTCATAATACCTGGGCCAGTGCAGCTGGGAGCCAGAGCGTTCTGTTAGAAAATATTGCCCCACATGGGTATAAAGAGACATGAGAGAGAGTATTATACTAGGCAAATAACTTAAAGGTTGACACTGAGCTATTCATTAAAGTGACCTCTGGTCAGTGATTAGATTTGATATGCTAACTCTCTCTTTGTTTTTATTATTAGGGTGTAGTTGGGGGTGTCATGATAGTGACTCCAAACAACATCATGTTTGACCCACATAAGTCGGATCCTCTGGTAATTGAGAATGGCTGTGAAGAGTATGGGCTCATCTGCCCTATGGAGGAGGTTGTCTCGATAGCCCTCTACAATGATATTTCTCACATGAAGATTAAAGATGCCCTGCCATCGTAAGGAGTGTTCTTTGCTAATTGTGTTTACATCTTTATCAGCCGGGGTGGGGAAACAGAACAAGAAAAGAGAGGTTTGGTGGGAGTGGTAATAAAGTTCATGAGAAGAGACAATTAACAGTGCCTTTAAAGAAAGAGAGGCAGAAAGGTGTGATGTCCTATAAAACAGTGGTTCTCAACCTGGTGTAGGTATACCCTGGGGGTATGCAAATGTCTTTCAGGGGGTACATCATCTTATCTAGATATTTGCCTACTTTTACAACACGCTACATAAAACGCAGTAGTGAAGTCAGTACAAACTAAAATTTCATACAGACAATTACTTGTTAGTACTGCTCTGTATACTATACACGGAAATGTAAGTACAATATTTATATTCCATGGTAAAAATGAGAAAGTAAGCAATTTTTCAGTAATAGTGTGCTGTGACATTTTTATATTTTTATGTCTGATTTTGTAAGCAAGTACTCTTCTAGTGAAGTGAAACTTGGGGGTACACAAGACAAATCAGACTCCTGAAAGGGGTACAGTAGTCTGGAAAGGTTGAGAGCCACTGCTATAAAAGAGGAAGGAAAGTAAACTTTTCAACAGCAGAAAAGGAGATACGTCGTAGGTATCAAAACCTAAGAAACAGAGAACAGTGAAAACGTCCAAAGGCAAAGAGAAAGATGGCACGCCATGTGTAATGTTTGTGGTATTTATTCCTGCGGGTTAGTTTCTGCAACTGATTGAAGCCCCACAGAAAGTGTTCCACAATTTTAATGGAAGGGAGGGGGACTACAGGATGTTAACTGATCAGCTTTAGTTCAAATTGGTTGCTGTTGTGACTATATTGGTTAATGGAGCAGGTAATTTAAACACTTCTGGTCGCAGTAGCAGGAAAATTCCTACCTCCCACAAACCTCCAAAATATCAGTCCTCTTATGTAGGAATCAGAGATCATAACCCATTTAATTTCTTCAATACACGGCAGTGTTTTCTTAGCTGGTATTTTCACTTATGCTTCGTCAATTGTACCTTGATGATAAACACTGTCCACAGGTGTGTTCTAGAAAACACCTTGTCTTCTCAATGCAGCTAACGGGGTTTCACTGTTTTAAATAAATGCGTCATCTTCCCTCTTCTCCCCTACGCAACAAAAAACAATTAGTCATAGCATCTCAGCCACGCAAAACAAAGGCAGCTAGCCCTGCAGAGATGTATAGTGGGGATATAGTCATAGGTAAGGCTAAGATTTTGTCACTGTTTTTTATTAAAAATCACTGACTGGTCTCAGGCAATAAACAAAAATTCACAGAAGCCGTCGACCTGTCTGTGACTTTTACTAAAGATAATGGGGCGGCTTGGGGCTCCAGGGCCCCCCACGGCAGCTTGGGGCTTTGGCCCTAGGGCTGAGGTGGAAAATCTCACTGAGGTCTCTGAAAGTTACAGAATCTGTGACCTCTGTGACATAATCTGATCCTTAGTCATGGGGTTTCCTGTCTTATCTGTTTAGACCTCTATACCATACTTGCCATCCCAGTATCTTGGTGGGAAAATATATAAGCTTTCATTATCTGTTCTCAGACTCTTTAACCTTGACCTGTGTGAATAATAAAGTAAATAAAGATCTTGAGCTATATGTCCTTATATTTCCAAGATTTTTCTACTTTCAGGCTCTTTGATGGCTTCCCCCCCCCCCCGATCCCTAAAGTTTCTGGGGAAATCCTGCAGTCAAATGATCAATTTTAGCATTGAGGGAATAACAAGTAATAAGAGTGACTTATGCCTTGTAGGGCATTTACAGCTCTAAAGTTGTGTAAGTGCTTTAAAAATGTAGAGGTTCTCTCTGTGGTTTTCTGTACTTTCAATAATTAACTTCTACCATTAAAAGAAGCAGGAATGCTGCAAGAGCCCAGAGTATTGTCCCAGACATACCACTCTTCTTTTATAAAGGATGAGAAGTAACAGAATACACAGGCCTAGATCCTTAGGTGGTACAAATCAGTGCAGGTCCTTTGACTTCAGTAAAGCAATGCCATTTTACACCACCTGGCCTTATTTTTGTATTATTGAGTACCTGATGACGCATACCATGTTGATTACATATGTACCATATCTTCCCCCATGAGATTATACTTGGCAGAATTACTCATCTTTTTAAAGTTATACTTCCTACAGCTTCTTCATTTTGATACCATGTATTTCAGTTGGCTTACATTTTATTTGTACATTTTTTGGTTTGGTTTTGTTTAAAATCATTTTGACATATTTAAGTTGTTTTCTTTTCCATTTTGTTTTAACATCCCACGTACATCCACCATTTCTCCTGACAGTGACATTCCAAAGGATCTTTGTCCTTTGTACAGGCCAGGAGAGTGGGAAGACCTTTCCTCTGAGAAAGATATCAACCCTTTCAGCAAATTCAAGTCCCTGAGCAAGGAGAAGAGGCAGCAAAATGGGGATGATTCCAAATCAATAAAGTCTTTGGACAAGGAGAAGTCTGCAGATTTTGAACTTCTTAAGCCTTCTGACAGTACTGTTTCAATGGAATCTAAGTCACTGGAACCTCCCAATGACATGGCCTCCGCTGAACCATCTGAAAGGTCTGCTGTAGGGGGACATACCAAGGAACCTTCTGGGGGAAAAGCTGCTTCAGATTCCAAAACCAAAGAACATTCCCTTATTGGAGGAGGAGATGATGACTTCGTTGAACTGCAAGAGACTGCATCTCCTACAAATACCAGATTAGACAGAAAAGATGCAGTAAGAGAAGGTTTTTCTTTTGACCCCAAGGAGTCAGGGAAAGCCAGGTCACAAGTAACCAAATCTCTTTCAGAAGTCCAGGACCTACTGGCATTTGATTCCTTGGACACAAAGAATGATGTTGAACCCAAAGCTGATATAGACTTAGAATCATGTGAGAAGCAAGATGTCATGCCAGAAGTAAACAAGTGTGCCAGTTCCCCGACAGGTAAGGTGGAGACTACACTGGACACTCAAAAGGAGCTAGATAAAAACAAACTTATTGAGTTTTACCTCAATAAAGATAAAGATGGGTCACAGTCTTCTGAAAACCTACATAAGGCTGGAATTGGTGAAGGTGAAAACAATAAAGTAACAGGCATAGACCTCACACTTAGCTGTTCAGAGTCCCAAGTTAACAAACTTCTTACAGTTAAAAGTGGGGAGCCCGATTCAAGCTGCATTGAAAGGAAAGAGCCTTCACTGGAAGTCAACTTGCCTGCAGTGGAGGAAAAGGATCTTAAAGAGTCTGTGAAATCTTCATCGGTACCATCTCTGGACAAGGCGTGTCAAGAAACACAGTTGGACAATAACTCAGAAATCAGACTGTGGCTGTTACAGAGAATTCAAGTACCAATTGAAGGTAGGTCTCTGTCTATCCTTATTCTGTTAACTGTGGGAGCTGGGCAGCATCAATTCAGTGCTCACTAGGATGATCTTCCTGTTAATTTCCTTTTCAGTGTAGTTTGGTATTTTACAATATAAATCTTCAGGCGATAACTTGACTGTACAAATTCTCAATCCAGAAGTAATGTAGGAGAAAAAGGATTCCTTCTAATTGTTTGGGCTACTGAGTTTGACAAATGGCTAACGTGCTTTGTCCATGTTTAGTAACTATTTTTTGTAACATTTTAGCGATAAGTGCAATAAAATGTCATCCATTTATAGAGTTGACTGACACACAGTGGCTGAAAGATTACTATTATTTTGCTATGTATTGACATGATCTGCAGTTCCATTGAAGACTGCCAATGTACTTCTAATGTGTAAAAATCCAGAGTAGTACACAGCAACATATTGACTCTAAAGAGTGTGTGTGTGTGCAGGCGTGCACATGTTTATACTGTTTCTTAGTCCTTTTTGTGCTACTGGACCACCCAAGATGTGCTGCTGAGCAGGAGTATAAGCACAGTCTTGCTGAGTGACCATTCTGTTTGTTCTACTATTATGTGACTCTTGATGAAATATAGGAGCACTTTGGAAAATGTGGAATTCTCTTGAACTTGAAAACTCTTGAACAGTTGGAGCCAAACTGACCTCCAGTTTACATAGCACGTGTGAGGTTTGGTTGTGTTTCTTTTTTTTTTTTTTTTTTTGGCAAGTCTACGGGCCTCATTCTCCCTTAAAACCAGGGTAGCAAACTCCATTGACTTCAGTAGAGAGAGCCTTGATTTACAACAGAGTAGGGCAGAGGAGAATCATAGTCTAGAGGTCACAAATTGTGTCTGGGGGGGTGGGGAATTTAAATCTCCCCTTTGGAAAAGGTCTGTGTACCACTGACAGTTCTTCGGCATCTGTCTTACTGAAAAGGTGGCCTTCGGGCCTTCCCAGGGTGAATGTGGCAAACTTGAGTTTCCCAGTGCTGTTGAATATTCCTTCCCAGAAGGAGATTGATCTTTGTGTCTGTATCTAAGCTACCAGTACTGTACTGGAAGCCTGTCATTCCTTTTTTCTCTGATTCAGATATGCTTCCTTCAAAAGAGGAGAAAAGCAAGACCCCTCCAATGTTCCTGTGTATCAAAGTGGGCAAGCCAATGAGAAAATCCTTTGTTACTCAAAGCACCACCATGGCACAGCAGTATGGTAAAAGGAGAAAGCAGCCGGAGTACTGGTTTGCTGTTCCTCGGGAAAGGTAGGCTGCAGTGCATGATACAAAGACATTTGTCTCTTCATTAATTATCAACCATATCAACAATTTTAGGGGCAAATCCTGACACCCGCTATCCCACACCAGAGTTTGCACAAGAGCCCAAATGCAGCAGGAATGCTAGGAGGTAGTCTGTGTGGTGTTCTTGAGGATGCAGGGGAAGTGTGTGGGGTGAAGAGGGATTGGATGCACAAAGGAAAGCGTACTACTCCTTAGCAGCATGTGAGCAGATAGTTGTTTGGGAGGTGGGGATTAAGGAGTGACTGTCAAGGAAGTTCAGTTGTTTGTTTAGAAGAGTATAAATTGTAATAAATAATTTTCAACAAAGGAGGGTTGGATTCCTGCACACAAGAATTCCAGATTTTTTTTTTCTTTTTCGATGAGCCTTTATGTCCCTTGTATTCTGAATTGAATGAGACTGCTGTGAAAAAAACAATTTATTCTGCTGGAAGGATATATTGTGTATAGTAGTTTGAATAATTTCTTGCTTAAACTTATTCTAAGATCCATAGAATAAGTTCCAGAGAGTTAATTAGAGCATCATGATTCACTTGAATTTCTAGCCTGTTAAAATATTATTTATTCCACTGGAATTTATAGCTTGTAAAGATAGTCATGTGGCTGCTGCAGAGAAATTCTGTCAAATGTGGGCATATCAAAAGGTATTGCTTCCTTCAAATCTCAAGAGTACAATACTTAGGTCTGCATTTCAATGCGGTTATGTAAAAATAGTGGCATCTTACTCACATCTGTTCCCAGTTTGTATTTGGAGACTGATTGTCTGTCAAATGCTTTAGAAGGTGGCCAGTGCCATTGTACCTAAGTTTTGTTAACAGCATGGAGCCAACACGATTATGTGAGCTGGATCTATTCGGGCTTACACATAGAATTTTTTAAGTTCCAATTTCAAACTCTGCCTGTCAATTCCACTTGTGCAGTTACAAGTTACATAGGTGTCCGAGTATGGATGGAAGTCAGTGAGGCTTCTTTGATGTAAATTAGGGCAGAATTGGATTTGCAGGACCTCTTACAACTGCAATGATGTACAAGCCAAAAGGAAGCCAATTTGATTTTTTTTTTAACTCCCCATATTGAGTTTGTGGGGTTGGCACATCACAAAATTATCTTCTTACACAGCAAGTTAGCTTAGTTTGCTAGTAGGTCAGTGAGCAGCAATAAATGCAGAACCCCACAATGCCAGTTATTTTAAAGGTCATTTTTCAAAGTAAATCACCCGTTAAACCATGCTCTTGATTTTTCTCCTTTTTGGCAGATGTGGACCAGTTTGCAAAAACTGCTTACCTGGATTTCACTGTACCAATAACCTCTAGCTTTCACTGATGAACAAAAGAGCATAACTGGCTGTATTTGCTCATCAGACTTGTTGAAATAAGGCTTTAATGCAGTCAATTACTTAAAGTCTCATTTCCGATTGCTAAATGATCTTTGCAATGGTATGGCTTTTTCAGACTTATGTTCTGAGAGAGCTTTTTTCCAGCCGCAGCCGTTTTCCACATACAACCCTCATACTCTCTTTCTCTCCCCCGCCCCACAGCATTCTGCTATTGTATTGCTATAATGGACTCACATAATGTTCAGAGCTGCTCAGTTAGTTCTATTGATGGTCCAAAAATTAAGGAGAGAGAATTATCCCACTGTTGCAAATATCAGTCAGGGGTTTTAAGCTATAGGCAGTTTTTAAAAGTCATATTTTCCTAATCTTCTAATAGTTTCAGAATACAAAAAACCAAAGATAAAATTAGCTATGTCTGATCCCCTGGTGCATTTTAGAAAGGAGTTAGTTAAGCAGAGCAGTGGTGTGGAACTTGCTGACTCAGAGAGAAAGGTTTAATCTGGCTGGAATGTTGGTGGTAGTTAAATTTATAGTGGTTTGAGCTGTAGTTGAAGTTAGCTTTTAATTCACTGGCTATGTGCAGAACCCAGTACTTGCTTCCTGTGGGGTCACAAAACTGTAGATTAAGAAAATTCTAGATTCAGATGTGAGTCAGCACTTCAGAGTTAGAACGATACTGTAACTTAATGCAAGGCCAGTATTGCTTTGTCGGTGGTGTATCTAATTTAATGTTGTATAAAAAATGCTAAATCACTTTCTCTGATTGCTTATTCTGTGTTCAAGGATAAATCTGAAATATATATATATTAACCTTAGCCATGCTCGAAAAATAACTTGCCTACCTGTCATTGAGGAGTAGAAAATATTTCTGGCGAGTGAAGTGGCCACATATAATTTAAGCTATTTTTTTAAAACTAATTTTCTAGCCCTTTTGATTACAAAGAAATCATTCTAAATGTGAACTGCTGTTGCCGAGTCTGCAGGCTGACCACTCCAGTATTCTGCTGCTGCTGCTCTTAACTTTGTCAAAGAGCCTCACAGTGAAATCAACAAGACTGGTGACTTTTCAGAGCTGCTATTCAAAACCTTGACAGTTTCACTGTGTCCATAATCAGGTCCGTTTCACTGTGCCATTCCTTGGGAAAGCTGTGAACAGCAGATCATGTAGGGCTGTTTTTGTTTGTTTCCATAGATCAAAAAAATGCTTTGTTTAGTTATAAAACTTCAGGTGCTTATGAAATTATTCATTCCAAATGTGTAGTAAAAAAATCTGTATAGGCTCAATAGCCACATACAAACCCTCTCAACCTGCCACAAGTGAAACCAAATTCTCCCCCCTGCGACCCAGTCATAGTAACCTGTGTGACATCTTAGTTTGTCTTTGTTTTATTCATTAAGACTTAAAATTGTAGCCAGAACGTGGAGAAATCAGCATCCATGCTGCCAGTCATTCTGTCTAGTTAAATTTCCCCCATAGTTTCAACTCCAATGAGTTTACTCCATCCTATACTTTCTTGTAGTGTTGCTGTGTGCTGTTAAACCACTGCTGTAAATAACCCCACAGGTGACTGCATTTCAGTGGTGGTGAGATAATGGGAACTTAAACTGCTCCTCCCAGTGTAGTACTTGCTATGTGCATACATAGTGCAGGCACCCTGGTCTTTCAGTCTGGCATGTTTCATGAGTGCTAAAGTCACATGACAAAAGTTACTTCATGATTTTCAAATTTAGTTTCATACCATCATATACCTGTCTGAATTAGTCTGTTTTTCAGTGTTTTCTGTAAGCCACTTGAAACATCGCTAGTGGAGACACAAAAAAACTTCATTCCTTAGTTTTAACTGTTTTTAATAGCTTTTTCTACAACTTTTAAAAAAAATATGTGCAGAACCCAGTATTTTCTTCCTGTGCCACAAAACTGTAGCAAAATTGTAAACAGATCATGTATCCACCTCGTCTTCTGTCTTAATTCTTCTACTGGATTCCTTCTCGTGCAATACATGACTTACAAGTTTCAGAAAGTCCCAAAAATATGTCTCTCCATTATCCCTGATGATGTAGTTGAGTTAATCGGTGACTCCAGGGCTGCTCTTTTGATTGCAAAATCACAGCAGGCCTTGTCTCTAGCACGTAACTGGGAAGATGTAATCATTAAAGAAGTCTCAGCTGAAAAAGGTGCACTTCATAAGGGAACTTCTTGCGCTGCTGTTTGGCAGAGTAGCACTAATGCTTTTGGACAGTGACTGAGAGTAACTGATTCGCTTGCTGGTAGACCTGACAATGGGTGTTGCTTACAGCGTTGGAGAGTAAGTATAAGTGGGCTTGTATTGTATGGCTTTATATTTCGCTGGAACTAAGTGAATCTGTAGAATTACATTTCTGAATTGATCCTCAGTTGTTGTTGAGGATATTAGACTAGAAGTTGAGCTACTCTTAAAATTATTTCTTTAAAGGCATTGAGAGGAAAAATATCTAGTGCTGGAAAGTAAACAACTGTAGAATGGTTTTTAGTTTAAGGTATGTATGGAAAGTGATGAAAAAACACAGATTAAGGAAGACTAGTATGAAATTATTCAAGGTGAAACACACTATTCAATAATTTCTTCATTTTTGTTTTAAATTCTGCTTTGTGAGGACTGAAGTGTACATACATATCAGGCTTGAATCCAGAACTGCCAAATATACACTTACAAAGTCAAAACACAAAAGTGCATGCTACTTTAATTTTTTTTTCTAATTACTACAATATTCAGAGTAGTTTCCATACTAAAAAGTAAACCTTGTTAGTTATCAACGGTAGCCTTTCATCAGCCAAATGTATGGATTTATTTTTTGCCTTATGGGCAATTTCTGTTTCCAACACAGTTAATTTTATATGACAGGATGAAATTCTAGCTGGTTTGTCTTTTGTTCATGGGAACCCTGGCTGTAAACAAACTGTGACATTCAGCTGAGAAGAGATTAGTGGTTATTGAAGTTGGATCTCTTGCAAGAAATTTCAAACAAGTTGAATTCCATTCTAACTAGCAAGGGTCTAGAATCATAACATGGTCCCATGTCAAATACACCAGGACTGTACATCATGGATGGTGTGACAGGGATCCATTTGGATTTTGACATGACTCTGGACATTGGTGCTAGGGACATCTGGAGAGGCTGGCCCCTAAATTTCCCTCCCTTTCCTATTGTTGGTATGATTCATGGAACAGACTGGATAAAGTTAAGGATTGGACTCCTTGGGTCATCCCAGCACCAATGTCTGGTGCCCTTTGAAACTCCAAATAGGTAAGAGACCAAGTCATAGATAGATTAGGTTTTCAGTGTGTTCTGGAATGTGTTCTAGTTATGCAGCCAGTGGGTGCCTTGGATTTTCACTTTCATATACCCTTTATAGATTCTAAAGCTAGAAAGGACCACTGTCATAGTGTAGCCTGTCCTCCTATGTAGCACAAGCCACGAGACTTCCTTGATCCCAGAACTGAATACAGGATTCCAGTAGCAGTCACACCTGTGCCAAATGCAGAGGTAATATAACATCCTTACTTGTACTTAATATTTCCTATTCCCAATGATCATGTTAGCCTTTTTAACCACAGCATTGCACAGCAAGCTTGCATTCAGCTGATCATCC